TTGTTTAAGTATAAAATTATTTCAGAGGAAGAACTTTAGAATACAACACTCATTGGGAGTGAAGTCAACACGGGATTTTCTGGTAGTGTCTGTCCTTGCTTCAGGGATGGCAGAAACTGTCCACCTCAGATCTATCCTGTACAACCTCAATAATGACTGGTGGGTGAGGGTTTTTAGGGATTTGTATGATCATGATCTTTTGTCTAAATTACTCTGAAATTCGTCATGGTCCTTTTAAAGTTCCAGGCCTCTGGACTTCACAAGAATCTGATATTGAAATATGAAATAAAGGTCCTTTGTCTCTCTCTTCACGTAGCCTCATCATTTGTCCTTAAAGGAGGTCACCGCCATCCTGAGACTTAGATAGATGGAAGGTATGATTTTCCACACAGCCAGCCTGGGTACAAAGACATTATCCTGCTGAGCCTGTTATTGGCTCACTTCCCAGAACTTTGAACAGAAGTTACCCAGTTGAGAGCTTGCCATGAACTTTACCCTACTTCTAACTCACCCGACTGTTGGGGAGGGTGACTCTATCAGGTGCTGTGCTGGTGACTTTTTCACTGATGTAATGTTAGCAAATCACAAGGATGTCTGACCAGGTACCGGGGTCAAGCTTCTGTTACATGAACAGAGTAGAACATTGGCTTACCCTAGTTCTGTGCTCACTACCAACACCTCCATCTTCTCCCAGCCAACACCATGCTCTGAGCATTCAGAAACTAGGGTGTGAATCTTTGTGGGGATGGAGTGCCAGGGATTGAACTCAGGTCACCAGGCTTGCATGGCAAACACTTTACCTGCTGATCCCTCTTCCCAGAGAAGTGACAAAACTTCTTCAATACAATACTGTGATATACATGCCTGGGTTTTAAACTACTTGACAGTATGATTGACATGAAGACCTATGTCTTAGGCAGACACTTTCCCAAAAGATCCATATCTGCCTGGTACTTAAAGGAAAACAGCTTTGTTACCAGTAATGAAATCTGAGATTTCAGAGGAAAATTAGAATTTAGGAAATCTTACATGCCCTTGCCATCAGCAAATGGCTTCTGACATGTATGCTAGGTTTTGTGTTGTGTTTTTTTTTTCCCTTTGAGGCAGAGTTTCTCTGTGTATTCCTGGCTGTCCTGGAACTCATTCTATACACCAGGCTGGCCTCAAACTCACAGAGTTCCACCTGCCTCTGCCTCCTGATTAAAAACATGGGCCACCACCACCTGGCCTAAGTGTGTTCTTTTTTTCTTTATTTTTCTCTTAATGATATCATGAGTGGATATTAGTTAATGTGAATTTGATGCCAATAATGAGATGTTTCAGCTCCTGCTGACTGCAAACAAGCTGGTTGCCATGGACACTCTACTTTTCACTCACTCACACCCCAACCTGAGAACTCCCTTTCATTCATCTCAGTCCACCAAAGGCTTTAAGATTTTCACCCAGCACTTTTTGTTTTCCATGGAACAACTGATCAATATACCTGACCCAGGAAAGGAAGCCTGTACATTTTTATATACTTGTATTTAATGGGTTTCAATTAAAGTTTTCTAACTCAATTTACACCATGGATTAATATACAATGAATGTTAAAATGACTCCCTGGTTCTCTGATCTGTCATCTTGCTGTCCGTTGACAGCCCTGATGTGTCCTCTGAGGTTCCATGGGACCATCTTCACTTGGATGTCTAATCGGCACCCTTTTCTATGGCTTTGATAAGTTAGATACTTTCCCAGATGTTTCAGCAAACAAGCTCTAGCTTTCTTGAGTGCCTCATGAAAAACTCATGAGCAATCGAATCTTGATTACTGGGTAAGAATTAAACAAATGTGGGTGACATTCGTTCACTAAAGAACCTCTCAGCCTTATGATGACCTTATCATATCTATATCCTTTCATAAAGCATGTCTACATCCTAGTGCTCAGGAGGCTGAGGCGGGAGGATTCCAAGTGGAAAGAAGGAAGGAAAAGGGGGCAATAAAGTATAGTAACCCATGTACATCAGATACAGGGTACCTACCCTAATGAACTGGACCGGAGCTCTAGTTCCCTCTAGTTCCCCCCCCCAAAAAAACTTGGCTATGATTCTAATATATCCATTTTTCCTCTCATGCTCTTCTATCATAAAAATACTGAAAACAAAAATTGTTCTTTTCCCCAAATCCTGGCAGCCTGAAGCTGAAAATCCTGATTCAGACTTTAGAGAAATCAGTGTGGGAAATGTTTGTACCCATTATTCGTGGACTACTCAGAGACAGCAACAGAGCCAGAGGCCAACCACAATCAGGAGAAAGGCATAGGGTTTCTGCTACCTCTCCCTACCTGAAGCTCACGAGGACCCAGCAGAAGTCCCAATGGCTGTGTCCTGGGCCCAAAAGCCCAGTGGATTATTTGTCCTTGGCCAGATGGTTGATGGGCTATAGGATATTTTACTGTGACTGTCTCTCATAACTGCTCCCTATGCACTTCATAAGGACCTGGCTAGAAAATTCCCTCCCTATATCAAAGGACATCATTAAGAAAAAAGAAAAAAAAAATAACCCTCTAGTTGGCGGTGGCAGTACATCCCTGTCATCTCAGGGAAGCTGAGGCATGAGGGTATCAAGTTCTGGTCCAGCCTGGACTACATAGCGAAGCAGGAAGAGGGAAGAAGGAAGCCTCCTTACATAGACAAGGAAATAAAGAGGATCTGAGTGTGTACTCTGTGCTGCTTGTTGTTTTTTGTTTTGTTTGCTTGACAGTGGCCAGGGTTATCTGGGGAAAGGAGACCTCAGTTGAGAAAGTGCCTACAACAGATTGCCTGTAGGCAAAACTGGGGGCATTTTTTTTCTTTTATTATTGACTGATGTGGGCAGAGCCCAACACTTTGGGTGGTGCCACTACTGGTCAGGTGGTCCTGGGCTGTTTAAGAAAGCAGGCTGAGTAAGCTATGGAGGGAAACCCAATAACAGTGCTCCTGCGTGGCCTCTGCTTCAGCTCCCACCTCTTCCGATTCCTGCCATGGGTTCCTGCCCTAACTTCTTTGATGATAAACTATGATGTGGAAGCGTAAGACAAGTAAACCCTTTCCCCACCAAGTTGTTTTGGTCGTGACGTTTCAGGTTAGGTTTTTTGTTTGTTTGTTTTCTGAGACCCTGGTTCTCTGTGTAGCTTTGGAGCCTGCCCTGGAACTGTCCAGACGAGGCATTTTATCACAGCAATAGAAACCAAAGTACACACCTTCCTGTGTTCCTCACTTCCCGGTTAATTAGGTCATACTTCTTTTCCCCAAAGGCTACCAAGCTATGCACTTTCCATCACATTGAGCAGTGAAACACATGTTTCCTTACTGCTTTGAGTCTTCATTTCTGAAGGCTCCGCTTTTATTAATAAATTTATATGTTTTTCTCCTGACAACCTGTCTTGTGTTATAAGGACTCAACTATGAACCTAGCACTGGGTAGAGAAATCCTTCCTCCTGTGCTCATATGACTAACAGCTGACTGATGGATTACTACATGTGTGGAGACAAGAGTGCATGCTTACACACATGCTCTTCCTTGCCTCACAGACAGGTTTGAAGGTTGGCACAACATGGGATTCCTAGACTCGGTTTCCTTCCCCAGCTGCTCTACTGCTTCCTGGACTAAATGTCCCTCATCCCCATGTGTCGTCACGGCATAGAGCTCATCAAATGCTTTGTAAAATCGATGTTTGTTGCAGGATATTTGATCACACTGTGAACCCCGAGATTGTGTTATTTACTGGAAAAAACCTGCTTCTAGCTGTGGTGTGCCTCAGCCCTAGCACACACCTTTAATCCAAGAGATGTCTGCTTGAATATTGTAAACAGGATTACATAAAATCTATAGTGATATATTATTTATGATTTATTAAAGCTTACCTGAGGATTCAGAAAGCAAAGTCAGCCACAAGCTATAGAGATCAGGTAGTGGTGGTACACACCTTTAATACTGACACTTGGGAGACAGAGGTAGACAGATCTCTGTTAGTTCAAGGCCACACGGGCCTACTCGGTATTGATCCAGTTCTAAAGAAAAACGGCTCACACAAAGATGATCTTAGAACCTGGGATTGCATGCCTTTATTCGAAGCTCTAGAGAGGTATCGTGATTTAATAAGGATCAGGAGATACAAATAGGCCAACTTACAACATAGACAGATGAACACCAGCAGGTTCCTCCAGATGCTCTCCTGTCCGCGTGCTGCAAGCAAGAGAGCTTTCCCTGGCTCCTCCTCAGACCTAGTTCCCCCAGGTCACTTCGGTCCCTCTCTCCACCCCCCCCCCCCAGTGGGCATGGTCAGTGCCACAGATGTGAACAAAGAAAACAGCTCACTACAAGAGAGGTATATAAAAGCAGCCCAGTGTCTCAAACATTTCTGAGATGGTCTCTGGATTCTCTCCAGCCACTCAAGAGAGGCAGCAGTCTGGGACTTGGGGAAGAGCTCGTGGATTAGCCCTTTCAGCCTGAGCTAGAGATAAGAGCTGGTGGCCAGCTACTTTGTGTTTCTGATCTTCAGCTTGAAGCTTGAACCCCAATATCGGTCTATGGATCATTTATTTTTTGTGTTACAAAAATCAACTATAGGTCAAGAGGCACAACAAGCAACCAGTTGACAGGAAAATACTATCGAGAGTAAGAGGGAGACAGGATGTCAGGGAGAGACAGAGAGAGGCACAGGGAAGGAGGGACATCTGGTTAGAGGAGTTTTGTTTGAGTCTGCATAGTAAAAGGCAGGGGAGAAAGTCAGCTGGGTGCTTTCTCTGCCTGTCTGAGCTAGCAGGCTTTCACCCCAGCATGTGGCTCCCAAGTCTTTTTGGTAAAATTAAATGATTGCGATTTTGTTAAAAACAACAGCTGTTCTTGTTGGATATGTGTGCAACCAAAACCTTCTTTTCACTGCTGCCTATAATGTGTCAAGCATCTGAAAAGGCCCCCAAGTCACCCCACAGCCACCTCTTGGAAGGAAAATGATAATAGCAATATTGGCCCAAGAATTGAAGAACATAATTTTTAATGAAACAATAGTGTCATTAAACAACTCATGGTATCCTTTTTATTCTGGGCACTATTTCTTGAATAGGTACAGGTTCCATATAATATTTGTCTGTTTTCCTGCAGCTCTTGGGATTAAGCCCAGGGACTTACACAAGCCAGTCGGATAAGCTACCACTGAACTACATTTCCAGCCCTTGAATAAAAACTATGTTCAGCACTATTTTCAGCTGAAGTAATCTTAACTGATGTTCTTACAATGTATTTGACCCCTTTCCCCCCCAAACCATGAGATAATGGGTAATATCTTAAGAGTCGCCCCCTAACTCTTACTACCCAAGTGTTTGTGGAAGAAAGTCTGGAGTTGCTGCCATGCATCCACCTGGGCCATGGCATGAGGCTTAGGCTCCCCTCCAAAGGTGATATTAGCACCCACCAGGAGGTGCATGCCAGCCTTGTACAGTGGGAAGTAAGGGGGCTCAATATAGTGCCCTGCTTCTGGGTAGCAGATGATCTGGGGCTTCTCCTTCCCATGGGCCTGTAAGCGTTTGGAGAGCTCATTGGCATAGAACTCGCTCTTCCAGTTGTGGTCATCCTGACCTACTAGCAACAGGAAGTTTGTGTCAGACCTTTCCACGGGGATGAAGCTCTTCTCTTCAACCAAAGGGCTTTGCAGAGCATCGACCACATCCTTGAGGCCATCTTTGGTCATTTTGACTTGATTTCTCAGCATAGTCACAGGGGGTATAGTCTCATCCTTGTAGTATATGGTGTTGCCAACAGCAGCCACGGAACCATTGATGACGACAGCAGCTTTGATGCCCTTCAGGAAGGAGGCCATAGCAAGGCCAAGTTCACCCCCTTTGGAAATGCCAAGCAGCCCAATTCCTGGACCTTTTACCTGAGAAAGATATAATGAATGAATGAATGAATGAGAATTAGTCCAGGAACAGCATCGAGCAGTGAGTTGGCCCGGCTGGAAAGCTATATGGACCAGGATCAGCATATGGACCTATTTTTGAACCACCCTAGCAGGAATGGAGCTACTCTAAAAAGACGTTTGCACCCCCCCCTTTGGCCAGGAGAATATTGAGACCCTAAGAATCTAAGGAAAACAAACATTCCTGCTGACTGATCTTTCATTTGACACCAGCACTGACCTGCCACACATCACTGGCGTTTTGCTTTCCACTTCTCCAAACGACCACCTCACATCCTCCCTTACCTCCTCAGCCCCTTGAGCCCCCACACGACCCTCCACCGCCAGCTCTTCATATGGCACTGGGAGGACAGAAGCCATCGGGAGGAGTGTCTCATTTTCTCACTCCCCAATCTACCTATTCCCATCACAGCTCAAGCTCTCAGATGCCCCACAGTCTCAGCCGCCACCTCTAGCTGTGTTTGGGATGCTGTCCGCTATCTTACTCCAGGGTTGGCCTCCCAGGCTTACTTCCAGCCTCCTCTCTTGACTTCTCTCTGCTGGTCCTCCTCAGAGCCTCCCTGCTCTGAGCCCCTTCTATTTCCTCACAGCCCTGTGCCCCAGGCCACACTAGTCATGACTCTGTTCTGTACCCTGGTTCCCTGCAAAACCTTTGGGAAGTTGTTTGTTGTACGACGTTCCTTCCTTCCATTCCTACTCAGTGCCTTCTGTGGTTTTGGGTTGGCACTGTCCCACAAGGACTGCTCCTGTCCTGAATCCCAGTGTCCTCTAGGCTGTAAGTAAATGGCTTTTTGGGTGACCTCTCATAACGAACTTTTTTTTCCCCTCTTGTGGTAATTACCCTGTTTATTAAAGGATGAAACAGAGGTCCCAAAGTCAGAATTAGAAATTAGTAAAATTAGGGCTGCAAAGCTCAGAGCCCGGTTCCCCTGCTGTTGACTGTCAAGTTCACCCTGTGCCTCCACCTTTACTCCCACAGGGACATGGGGACATGAGGGCTCCAGGACAAGGGGAGCGGGGACACAGGCAGGACAGAGCTGCTGAGTACATCATTTGAATGAGCACTGGCTGGGGAGGGCTCTACCTTTTTCTTCCCTTTCCTTGTGTCAAACCTAGAAATCTCCAGTGGCTTGGGCTCTTTATGAAATAAAGGGAGAGAGGCTGTCATCAGTTCCCTCATTCTGTGAATCAAGCACATGAGGAGATATGACAGGGGCCAATAAAAAGAGGGACATCTAACCTCAGGGTGGCTGAGCAGGTAATTCACAGCTTCTTCAAAGTACTCCATGCGCATGGTGTCCATGCCCTTGGGGAGGTCATCGTAGTTATAGTAAGCCAGAGCCATGACAGCAAAGCCCTTCCCAGCCAGCAGACTAGCCCGGTACTCCAGAAGGCCACCTCCAAGTCCAAAAAGGTCCAGGATCCCAGGATAGGGCCCGGGTTCTGGGGAAGAAACAGAACTGAACATTACTAAGAAGTGTGTGCAGTGGCATCAATAGACATTTGTTATTATGTGCAGATGACAAGGTTTTCAACAGACTGAAAAATCCTGATGGACTTCCTATCTTCAAGCATCTAGAGAGTAGCCTGGGCTAAATCACCATCCCCTTCCACACCTAAAGCCTCAAAGCTCCACACGGGTTTACTAAGGGGATATTTAAAAGAATGGGGGCAGGGGAATGTATGGCTAGCATGCAGGGCTCAGAACACACACACACACACACACACACACACACACACACACACACTTTACAATGACAACAATAAAATACTATCCTCTTCTGTCCCCCAAACTGGACAATGTCAACTGCTGGTGAGACTGTGCAGTAACCAGAACTAACACATAATACTGGTGTAATGTACAACAAACAGTGCAGTCTGTAGAGAGCAGTGGACAGTGCTTCACAAAGTTAACCCTATGCATGACCTTAGAGCCCAGTCATTGCCCTCTCAAGTATGAATGAAAGGAAAAGCTCTGTTCACACAAGAACACAGTTCAATGCAGTATTCAAATGTTCGTAGCAGCTTTATTCATAATTTCCAGACTGGAAACAAACCCAGAATCCTTCAGCTAGTGAATGGATACATCATAGAATGGAGCATTAAGAAGAAGCAGAAAGGCCTGATGAGCAGAAGGCCACATGAATTTGAAATGCATTCTGCTGACTGATTGGACATAGACTCCAAGGCTGCATGTTCATTCTGCATGATTTTGTGTCCTAAATATTTTAACCATTTACATAAGAGGGGGGTTTGTCTTTCACATGTCCGATTTAAATAACTCAATGTTATGGTTAATCGTGATTTCAAATTGATTGGATTTGGAATCAATAAGGCACACCCCTGGGCATTTCCAGAAAGGATTAAATGAGGAGAAAAGACCTCCCCTAGGTGGGTAGCACCTGCTGCTGGCCGTCCAGATACCAAGCAGTTTGAGACAAAGGGAGTCCTGTTTTTGTTTGCCCGCTCTGTCTGCTGGTAAGCTTACCTACCCTGTTGCCACCTTGGCTGACACTGGAAACACAGATTCTTTGGCCTTCCAACATGGCTCTAGGAATCCCGGAGGCTTTGCTCATCAGATTGGGATGGTGGAGGCATCCAATGGGTGTAAGGAGTGACAACTACATTCTACCTCTCCAGTGAAAACAGATATTGTTAGATGACAGAGACCATAGCTAACCTAATGAATCCCTTTTCATGGTATATATTCATTTTGTCAATTCAACTGATATAGAGAACTCTGACTTAGACTCTTAGCAAACACCAGAAAGCCAAAATGTTTTTACCTGTTCCTTTTTCTGAACAACTGTGGATTTTATGTACCTAAGTCTACTGGTATCACTACGTCTTATATGTGTGCCTTACATATTTTGTTTTATTGAACAAGGCACTTGCTGTCAAACTGACAGCCGGAGTTCAATCCTCAGGACCCACATAGTAGGTGAGAGCTCAAACAAACTGCACTTTGACTTCCACATGTGGGCCACACATGTGCACTAAATAAATGAATATTTTAGTTTGCCTAACCCATGATTTTATCTTAATGGACTCGAGACTGATTGGGGGGGGGGGGCTCTGCCTGTGCCATGGGCACAGGGAGGTGATGAGCACTGTTTAAATCTGTTAAAATCAGTGTTAGTATTAGCAAGCTCCTCAAGTTTATATTGAGGTCTATAAACTTGATGTTCTTCTCCTGCTGTCTGTTCTCCTGTAAATGATCAAAGATGTTGGGGGTAGGGCAATCAGATCCCCTAATCAACAGCTATTAAACTCTTCTTTGAAATCTTGGCCACCTTGTGCCAGCATCAGCCATGAGATAACCACACAAAGACCACAGCAGGGCATTAGTTACTATTGTGGAATATTAATTGAAGATGTGTTGCATTTGTTTATACTGTAGAACATTTGTTTAATGATGCAAAGATTTGTTACATTCCTCTTTTTTGTTTTTTGAAGATTTATTTGTTATATATACAGTGTTCTGCCTGCAGGCCAGAAGAGGGCACCTGATCTCATAATGATTGTGAGCCACCATGTAGTTGCTGGGACTTGAACTCAGGACCTCTGGAAAAGCAGCCAGCTCTCTTAACCTCTGAGCCACCTCTCCAGCCCCCTGTTGCATTCTTTTGTGTTGCATTTGTTTAACTTTGTGAAGCTGTGTTACTTTGTCTAAAACACCTGATTCAACTAATAAAGAGCTGAATGGCCAGTAGCTAGGCAAGAGAAAGGATAGGTGGGGTTGGCATGCAGAAAGGATAAATAGAAGGAGAAAAAGAGAAAAGACTGAAAAAAAAAAAAAAAAAAAAAAGGAGAGGAGATCTCCAGGGACCAGCTACACAGCAAGCCACAGAGTAAAAAGCAAGGGAAGGTATATAGGTAAAAGCCCAGATGCAGAAGATAATTTAAGTTCAGGAAATCTGGCTAGAAACAGCCAAGCTGAGGTTGGGCATTCATAAGTAAAACTAAGACTCCGTGTATTTATTTGGGAGCTGGGTGGGGGAGACCCTCAAAGTACAAAGAGAAAAACAATACAATATGCCTGGTGTAGCTGTGGCCAAACCACTTCTACCAGACTTTTTGTTATAACCATTTCTACCTTGGTGCATGTGTGGAGCGGGGCATTTCCCCTGCTAGTCTGGTAGTTGTATCTGAAGGCAAATCTGTGTTTAGTCTAAAACACAAATCCCAGTGATTGTGATTGGTGCTAAGAAGCTAGGCTGAAATTGGCCAGATGATCCTTCTCTAACTATGTAAGCAGGCTCTTCAGCAAGTCCTCTGAGAGATACTCTTTTTAATGCTACCTCCCCTGGTGCAGCTAGCAACATTAGGCAAGGGCTTCTTCCCGGTGGTCTTTTCTGGCTTACTTTCAACGTAGGCTAAGCTGTTAACATAAACCATCGGGAAGTAGTCAGGCTGGGCCAGTGAACAGTAGTGGTAGGGACCCCTCCAGCACTTGGCAGAGCAAGTTGTGAAACCACTGAGGTAGGCTGCTGCTGTCACCC